TGTTTGTATGGTCAGTAGATAGTTCTGTAGATCAGTTCAGCTCTGAGAATTTTTCATGTTCATGTAGTTCTAAGGATTTGTGATGGACACCCCTGGAAGTAGCACGTAGCCTGGAAGTAGCACGCAACTTGGAAGTAGTTATGGGCCTTCTAGACCTGTCCCTGTTATTGCAGCTGACCCTGAAGTGATCCGTGTTGATGATGAACCTGAGGAAGATGGGGCTGGTGGTGGTGTAACCCAGTCATAAGGCTCACAGAGGAAGCTTACTTCTGCAGTCTGGGCAGATTTCACAAGAGTTTGTGATGATGATAGTATGTGGAAGGCTAAATGTAAGCATTGCAGCAAGAAACTTTTAGCAACAACAAGGAATGGTACGAACCATCTACGTACTCATGTGAAAATTTGTATCTATAGAAAAAAAACTAGGTGATAAAGTGCAAACAAACTTGAGGTTTGCAGCCACTGAGAAGGGGGCAATGGCTGTAGAAAATTATGTTTTTGATCAAGAGGTAGCTAGGAAAGCACTTTACTCTATGATTGTATTGCATGAATACCCTCTGTCCATTGTGGACCATCATGAATTTCGCAAATTTATTAGTGCATTGCAACCTTTGTTCAAGATAGGTACTAGAAACACTGCTAGAAAGGGAATCTTGAGTTTCTATGATATGGAGAAAAGGAAAGCTAAGATATTCCTTCAGAAGATGACATGTCGTGTTGCTATTACAACTGATATGTGGATAGCTGATAACCAGAAAAGAGGATACATGGCTGTCACTGGACATTTTATTGATGACTCATGGACTCTTAGAAGCTGCATATTGAGGTGATTACCTAATTTTTCTTGCTGTACTATTTTTATGATATGGATTTATTGGTTTTTCTTGCTTGCTAAAGTTTTCTATCGTTTTTAGGTTTATTTATGTGCCATGTCCTCATACAGCAAGTGTTATTTGTGATGCATTGCTCAAATGCCTCCAGACTTGGGATATTGATTGCAGGGTGTCAACAGTGACCCTTGATAATTGCAGCACCAATGACAACATGATTGGACAAATGGAAGGAAGGATTGGAGCAGCTAATATGTTGTTGGGTGGCAAGCACCTTCATATGCGGTGCTACGCGCACATCCTGAACTTAATTGTTCAAGATGGCTTGGAAGTGATTAAGAAATCTGTTGCAAGTATCAGGGAAAGTATTGCTTATTGGGTTGCTACACCAAAGAGGTATGAGAAATTTGTGAAAACAGCACAGCAGCAAAAAGGTTGAATTAACTAAGAAGTTGTGTCTAGATTGCAAAACTAGATGGAACTCGACTTATATCATGCTTAGTATTACTATGCCTTATAGGAAAGTTTTTGCAACAGTTAGGAACCCTTGATCGAAGCTTTGATTGCCCTCTAGAAGATGATTGGAAATTTGCTTCGCTTGTTTGTGAGAAATTAGAATTGTTCTATCAGCTCACTATATTGTTTTCTGGAACCAAATATGTGACAGCTAACATCTTCTTCCCCAAAGTATGTGAGATCAAACTTAAAAATAATTCTTAGAAAGAAGATGAAAATGAGATAATTAGAAAAATGTCCATTGCCATGATAGAGAAGTATGATAAATATTAGTCTGACATCCAAGGTCTTATGGATTTAGCTATTCTTGATCCATGTCTTAAGATGATAACATTGGAAGCTTGCTACATTGCTCTATTGGGTGAAGATGAAGCTGATAAATATGTCAAAAAGAGCTATGAGTTGCTAACAGAGTTGATGCGTGAATACCACGTGCAAACTGACCAAGAGGGTGTGGGTACATCATCTTTTGGTGCTGCTTCTTCTACTGTTAGTGCAGCGGTTGTGCTGTCCATATTCAAGTCACTTGCTGCAAATAAACAAACTTCAAGTTTGTCTAAAGCCAAGAATGAGTTAGATCGCTATTTGGATGAAGAACCACTTCCTCATAATGACAGTGAATATTTTGATGTTCTTGGCTGGTGGAAGGTTGCGGGAACTCGTTTCCCAACTTTGAGGATGATTACTCGTGATATTTTGGCTATTCCAGTCACCACAGTAGCTTCCGAGTCAACTTTTAGCACTGGTGGTAGAGTTTTAAGTGAGCATCGTAGCCGTCTTACTCCTCAAATGTTGGAAGCTCTTATGTGTAGCCAAAGTTGGCTTCGTCACTCGCTTAAAGGTAATAAAAATAGTCAATTTTTATGTTTCATATATTTTAAAACTTATAATCTATAGGCTACAGCTACTAACATTAAAAAATACGTTGCTGTAGATCAAGATGATGATAAGCGTCATGTTCGTTTTGGCTTGTTTGGCTTATAAGCCATGACTGAAAGTATTATTGGCTGGTTTGGTGTGAGAGAAAAATACTGTTCGTTGGCTAATAAGCCATGGCTTATAAGCCAAATATGATCAAGCGAACAGGCTGAAGGTTGATACCTTTTGGTCTTGCTTTGAAGACATAGAAGAAGAAATGAAGGAAGAATCATGCATCACGAGTGTCGACTCTGATTGATAGTAGCTTGTTGAAGTTGAACTATGTATATTGTACTATTGTGTCCTGTGTGATGGTGTGAGTGTGATCTATGAACCATAATTGGTGTAGAATTTGATATGATTTGATATGATTAATATATCTTAGAAAAATCATATATTTTTTGCAGTATTCAATGAAGATAATTTTTATATGAAAATTATAGATCTCGACGAGATCTACAACTTTCTAGTTTTGAGTTTTTCCATTTGAAGTCGTTAAGATACGAAAAAAAAATAATAGCATATTTAGACCTAAGGGTATTTTCGACTTTTCACACCTGCAGTTTGACACCGTTAGAGCCCAATCTGACGGTAGTGGCACGGAGGGCAAAAAAAAGTTAGAGCAGTGGCGCTGAAGTCCGTCGAACTTTTTCAATGATTCACAGAGAATTACGATATTTTTTAATGGCTCACAAAGAATTCCCTCTATTGTCATTGGCAAACTTGATTGGCTTAGAAAGAAGATGAAACCTGCTGATAGCCAGAGCCTGGAGAAACTTGCAGAGAAGTTAGATGAATAATTGTACAGACTTTACTCAAAGGTAAAACTTCTGTATTTCATTTTCATTCTTAGCTGCTCTAAGTATACTGTATCCATGCTTTTGCTGTTGTGCGCTTCTTTCCTCGTTTTTTACAAAAAAATATATTTCCTATGAGCAGGCTGACTACCATGTAATGCTGAAAGAACAAATCGAGCCACGCTTGCAAGTTGCTATTAGGTCCCTCTCCAGCCAAGGTCATCAGCATCAACAAATGTCACATCAGACACCAAGTTCCTCCACCTACATCACAATGTTTCCAACACCTGGTATGGCTTAGAGTGAGTGTGAATGGAGAACACAGGGCGTAGCTCAACGACTGTTATAACTACCTGCAGTTGGCTTGTGTTTCCGGACACTATGTTCTCCCTCCTCTTGTTGGTTCTTTCATATGCAGCTCTCACTATATTTATGTTGCAGGATCCATATCCAACGGCTACCAGGATCCATCCATCAGCGTACCACAAAATTCCACCGCTAATAGTGACTCATCAGCGATGTGTCCAGTGATTATGCAACAGCAGGTAGATCATATGGTTCAGGCTCCAGGATTTAGCCATCATCAGATTTTACCTGCCAATCCTATTGGCGCTAATGGAGCTGGATGCCTCAATGGGCAGTGGAATGCCATGCCTCTAGTGTAGGAGCAGCAGCCAATGCCATTTTCTATGAACCAAAGTAACTATCCGCTGCAGCATCTAGGCTCTGGAGTGGATTCAAGAATCCTGGAGAATTTCTCCTCATATGGTTTGTCGGATGCACAAATCAATGGTGCTACGGGCTCCAATATGCAGCTATCAAACAGGCCCCGTTCGGCTTGCTGAATCTTGGCTGAAAAATACTGTTTTGGCTGAAATATTGTGAGAGAAAACCACTGTTCCGGCTAAAAAAAGAAGCCGAACAAGCTGGATATAGGGTAAGCCAAACGGGGCCAAGCTGGCGGTTTGCCTGAGAAATCATTGCAAAGAGAATTCAATCGTCATCCTCCACAGGGAACACAAAGTATGTGTGCTATATTTTTTTTCCATGTGCAATATCTCACTTATGCTATTTTGTTTATTCATTTGTGCCATTATAATCTAGATAGGTTGGTAGTGGCAGTACTACTTTTTGGCAGCAAATCCTGCAGATGCACATGCTTTGAGTTTTGTTCTTGATCTGAATTTTATCCATGTCACCGAAGAGGAATATGTCGAAAAAGTAGAGGAGTATATTTCTTTTGAGTGTTTTATTTATTTAGGGAGAAAAATAAAATCTTTTCAACTTCTGCAAATCATACTACCTGTTTGGAGCAGTGTTTGAGGGAGATGATGTTGCCATGATTTTTGTGTGGAAACTTGATATATTTCAGTAGATTAACCATTGATAATCTTCCTGCAGCAAAAACCCACATGTTTTGACAAATTCAGTAGAAAAATACGTGCAGTGTAGTAAAATGGTATGCTAATTTTTGTGAAATTGCCAATAAATGTCAACAGAGGTCCTAATCACTAGTATGATCTGGATGTGAGATAGTATGCATAATGGTACTTGATTTGTTGTAAGCCTTTTGACATGTATTCCTGTCTTTTTTTTGAGGAGAAATACAATAGGGGAGGCGCCCTACTGTAACTGGCTTTTAGAAATGTGGAACTTATAAGTGACTTTTAATTTCTATCTGGTCTGCACACTGCACTAGACTCGCCTTGTTTTATGGAAAGTCTTGGAGATACTGCTGCACATTTTGATACAATTTTATGCGTTCCACATGGGTTACCCTGTTACGTTTTATTATCAGTTAGCAAACTTGTGCTCATTGTAGACATTTGACGTTGCAAAACAATTAAATGTACTATTTTCTTTTCCAGCATCATTGGGTGTTTCTAGAAATTGTTACGGCGCCATTTCTGCAACCTTAACACCTACAGGTAATCAGAACATGGATGCTACAAATATGTTGTCCACTTCAAGAACGAAATCTGCATTGCTCGCAAGCCAGACAACCAATCAAACTCTTCAACCAAAACCTCTTATAAAATCCGAGGTATTGGATCAAACAGAAAAGGTGAACTTTAGGGAATTACAGTTGCCTTGCAAACAAATATTTCAGGAGCAACATTATTTTGAGCCTAATCATCCTTGCTCCCTGTTTGTGAGGGAATGAAAGCTTAGTTCTGGTCGTGATGAGCAAATATTAAGTCAAGGAGTTTTACCATATAATGAGCCAACATATTCAAAAGCAAATGAAGATAGTGACAAAATAGACCATACCAGTCAACAATTTGTCCATCATAATATTCCCATTCGGGTCAAGTCATATTCTCGGCAGTTATTCTCTCCACATGTACAAAATACTAAACTGATGAATAATAACATGGTGCAGAGAGAAATGTCAGAAGATGCAGCAGAACAACATGTTTCATCTAATTGGCACTTTCCTGGTTATGCTATGACTCCCGATCATAAACAGTCAAAGCTTCCAACAAAAGTATACTGCTTTTTCATTCATGCAAAATTTTGTCCCAATCCTATAGGTACTTGTAAATTACAAGGCTGTGTTCGTGCACAGGAGATCTTAAAGCATTCTAATGACTGCCAAAGAATAGATTGCCAGTATAGATACTGCAGGCAATCAAAGGAGGCTATTTATCACTATAATAATTGTGTTAATAAGCATTGTCCTGTTTGTAGCAAAGCAAATGAAAGTCTGAGCCGCTATTGTGATCAAACAAACAAGAGGGATGCAATTGAAAGAAGTTTCAATGGGGTACATGGTGACACAATAGACATCAAACTGGTGAAAGCTGAAACCTTTGATGATCAACCACCTGTATCAAAGCGTTTAAGGTTGCAACCCATGCTTCCCAATGTATCTGATAGTGCTTATATCTCTTTTCCTCAAGCATGCCCAGATTTTGTGTCACAGCAAGCTCAACCTAAGCATCTTGGACAGGATAAAAGGATATATCCAAAACAAGAGCTAAAGATCGAGGCTGATATGCAACTACCGCCAAAGCTTGAGATAACTAGATCTGGTACTGTTCGGAAAATTGGTGCAGTGGAAAGTTATGCAATTCCTGGAGAGCAACAAAATTGTTTGCCAAACAAAGATACAAATGAAGGTGTTATTGATATTAAGATGAATGCAAGTGGATCTACAGATGTCTTGCTGTCCAAGACAGGGAAAAAAAAGAGAAAAGGTATTTCACTCTTGGAGTCGCTCACTCTAGAGCAAATATATGAACACACCCATAGTACAATACAATGGGTTGGTCAGGTATGATTCTTGACTAGAAAAAAAAGATATCTTGCATACTGTACTATTTTTAGTTAATGAACAGAGTTCTCTATTGCTTGCATGACCATCAGACCATGTGATGTCTTGAAAAAAAACATTTCCAGAAAATTTCCTCCCCTGAGCCATAAATAGTTTCTTTTAATCAGATGGTTGGAGTTGTCATATTCGAATATGGAAACAGTAAGCAGTCAGATATACTATATACTACTGGGATTTCCTGCTGACTAGCAAAATAAGAAGCACTTTAGCTGTTTTGACATCATGGGTCAGGTATTTTAGGATGGAGCTGAACTTGCAATAGCATTAGCAAAATGAAAACCTTTGCATGTTGAATGATAGCAGATAAGAAACTTGTATTTCTTGCAATTGGCTCTAGATGTTGATAAGAAATGCCCATGTGCAATATCTTGAAAGCTTGGATTTGAACCCAGAAAGCTTAGGTTGGTCTTATGTTCTTCCCCCTGTTTTTTCCTAATTAGCATGTTTATTACCTTATTAGTACCCTAGCCGCTGCCAAAAGTTTTTTCTAAAACCTATACACATACTTGTTTTTTAAGAAATCTTTTGGTTGGATTGGATTCATGTTTTACTGTTTTCATGTGGATATAATTTAAGCTTGTGCAAGAGTATGAACTATTGCAATGATTATTTCTTCATATGACAGAGTAAGGCTAAAGCTGAAAAGAATCAATTACTAGGACAGTGGGAAAATGTGAACTCATGCCAGCTTTGCAAAGTAGAAAAGCTCTTTTTTGAGCCTCCACCTAAATTTTGTTCTCCCTGTGGTGCTCGGATAAAAAAGAATGCACCATATTATAGTGGTACTATCACTGAAAGTGGTCCCTACTACTTTTGCCTACCATGTTACAATGAGTCTCGCAGTGACTCAGTTTTGGTGGACAGTATTCAATTTCTCAAGTCAAAACTTGAGAAGAAAAGAAACAATGACGAGTTTGAAGAAGCAGTAAGCATTTCAGTTTCCCTCTTTCCCGGCTTTATCCTCATAGTTATGCATCTTTTTTCTGCACACTCATTTAACCTAATCAATTGGTTCCATAGTGGGCTCAATGTGACAGATGTGAACGCTGGCAGCACCAGATTTGTGCTCTTTTTAATGCCAAAAGGAATGCTGAAGAAAAAGACGCAGAATATATCTGCCACAGTTGCTGTATTGAAGAGATAAAAGATGGTCTGCGCACACCTTTACCGCATAATACTGTTCCTAGGGCGAAAGATCTGCCAAGGACTGTGCTTAGCGATCATATAGAAGAGCACCTTTTTCAACGCCTCAAAGAGGAGAGACAGAATAGGGCCTACAAATACAGGAAAAGTTTCGATGAGGTTGGTAATAGAAGCTGTTTCTGGAAATCACTAACCTAATTTCTCCCTGTTTTGTCTTCAAAAGCTATACTTTACAAATTCATTGAGCCTACAAACTTATCTTTTCTTTAAGCTTCACAATATAGTCACATCTTGGAAACTCCTCTTGTGAAAGTGCAAGGTTTTGTGAGGTCCTTTTCTTTTAGTTGCAGCTGTGCTTTCTGGGTATTGTTTGTTCTTCTTGCCCCTTATCTATTTCAGGTGAACATTTTTATTTACCACAGGTGCACCGTTTGAGTATTGCCTGCTTTAGGTGACAGGGTAAAATAACCAGCATGGGGTTTCATAGATGTATTTCACGGTTTTATTTTGCACATCATTCAACCTCCATACTTTACACCACAGCAGTTCCTGTTGAGGATAATCAGTTTCTTTTATATGCAAGTACACAGTTAAGATTGCTGCTAAAAAAGCTTCACGGAATGTGCATTCATCACGTGATTCTCAGTCTCCATAAAATCTAGAACTAGTCATTTTGTTTGTCCTGATTTTTCCCTCATTAGGTTCCTGGAGCAGAGGGGCTTGTGGTCAGAGTTGTTTCATCAGTGGACAAGAATTTGAAAGTTAAACCAAAATTTTTGGAGCTTTTTCCAGAAGAGAATTACCCAATAGAGTTTCCTTACAAGTCCAAGGTAAAAGAGTTGTATGGTCATGTGAAGCAAAAAATCACATGTGACTACTATTTATTCGATCACTTTTTTGGGAAGATAACTTTTGCTAACAAAAGCTCCGTATCTGGTTTTTTTTCATTTTTCCTTCAGGCTTTTTTTTTTTGACGGTCAACGGGGGGGGGGGGAGGCGTTCCCCACCTGATTTATTTGATTATAATGGCTCCGAACGGCCTCATAATGTACATATATTGCTTATAGAAACACCGAGGTGGTTACAATTTTTCCTAAGCGATTAAAGCAGCCTAGGGTCCAACGTTTCAGCCCTGGCCTGTTCTAGCCATTTCTAAGATATGGCACCATAATGACTTGCTTTTTTCTTTCTTGGAAAATGAACCTCCATTGTTCTTGCAGCAATCTTGCAGTTTATTAGCACTCTTGATGTAGCAGTGGATTCTTATCGAAGATTTTTCCGTTCTCGGCCTTCCACCTTGGTGCAAACAACCCGGCGCTATGAAGGCAGAGAACTCATCGGTGGGTATGCCTCCGGTCGTTGAGATGGTATGTAAGAGATTCAGTTGTGAATTGCATCATTTTCGGTAGATGAAGCCTCTCCGAGAGCAGTAGTCGCAATGGGGCAGCCGTTGATGATGTGCGCCGGTGTTTCGTCGGCCTCGTTACATACCTCACATGTGTTTTATCATCCAGTATTCTCTTGGTGTGTAGCACCGATCGTGCATGGATTTTTCCTTGAACTAGAAGCCACATGAAAAGCTGCACTCTAGGCGGTGCATGGTTGTCCTGCACGAACTTAGCCACAGGGTCATCCGGTTGGCCCTTGGCTTTGATAGTTTATAAATAGCACCTTTGTCCAGCCTAGAATCTCCCTTGCTGAATAAAGATGTCCGTTGGTCCGGTGTTTGCGACAGTGTGGTCGCCTGGATGATCTGTAGTAGGTGATGCAGGTCCAAGCATGCCCTTTGAGACAGGCGCGGTACCAGAGTCAGTTGCAGGCCGGTGTGTAACATCTGGGATACCGTAGCCTCCTTGAACGTACAATGACTGAAGAGTGCCGGGTAGGTGTCAGCAAGGGCCTCATCTCCAGTCCAAACATCAGACCAAAAGGAGCAGTTGTTTCCATCTCCGAGGGCAACCGTTGTGATAGCTTGATACAGAGGTAGAATTTGTCGAAGCACCTGCCAGTGGTCACCATATCGTAGCCTCCTTGAACGTACAATGACTGAAGAGTGCCGGGTAGGTGTCAGCAAGGGCCTCATCTACAGTCCAAACATCAGACCAAAAGGAGCAGTTGTTTCCATCTCCGAAGGCAACCATTGTGATAGCTTGATACAGAGGTAGAATTTGTCGAAGCACCTGCCAGTGGTCACCATGAATATCGCCACTGAGCGTTGCAATTGAGGCCCGTCCCTGGACCCATTGTGCCCATGCAGAAAATTCGGGGTGATGAAGCTTATGGATGAGTTTGAGCAGCAGGCATATCTTTTATTTCAAAGAATAGATGGTGTGGAAGTATGCCTATTTGGCATATATGTGCAAGAATATGGAGCAGAATGTGCATTCCCAAACCAACGTCGTGTTTATTTGTCGTACCTTGATTCTGTCAAATATTTTAGACCTGAGATTCAAACGGTTTCTGGTGAAGCCCTACGAACGTTTGTGTACCATGAAATTCTGGTAATATACTATAATCAGTATCAGTGTGATTACTAGTATCACATTCCATTTTTGAGTCTAACCATAGTTTTCTGTATGTATATGTTACAGATAGGTTATCTCCGGTATTGTAAGCAGCGGGGTTTCACTAGTTGTTACATATGGGCATGCCCACCTTTGAAAGGTGATGATTACATTATGTATTGCCATCCGGAGATTCAGAAGACACCAAAGTCTGAAAAACTGCGAGAATGGTAATACCATTTATTGCCGTTATGTCATTTTGCATGTCAAAAGGATTCTTTAGAATAACGATTAATGAATATCATATCTGGCATTTGTAGGCATGATTTATTATTCTGCATGCAGGTACTTATCTATGATTCGAAAAGCTACTGATGAGGGTATAGATGTTGAGCTGACAAATCTATACGAGCACTTTTTTAACTCTAAGACAGACTGCAAGGCTAAAGTGACCGCAGCTCGCTTGCCATATTTTGATGGTGATTATTGGCCTGGAGCTGCAGAAGATATAATCAACCAAATTTTCCTACCAGAATATGACAAAAACTTGAGGAAGGGAAAGGTAAAGAAGACTATCACAAAAAGAGCTTTGAAAGCTGCTGGCCTTACCGATTTAAGTGGGAATGCTTCAAAGGATGCTATGCTGATGCAAAAGGTATATTTTTCTCTTAAAAATATGCAAGATATGTTCTTTCAACCAAAATTTACTTGAGCATTCTTATATATCTTATTAACCATCAATGATGCTGTGCAGCTTGGAGAAGCCATTTACCCAATGAAAGATCTTATTATGGTCCATTTGCAGTATTCTTGTCGTCACTGCTGTATCCTTATGGTGTCTGGAAGGCGTTGGGTCTGCAATCAATGCAAAAGCTTTTCTATTTGTGACAAGTAAGTTGATTTGTTTTATAATGGGGTACAATAATTTGAAAACATTTTTGTATAATATATGTGCCTGATCATGGTTCTGTACATGGTGCAACTTGAAAACATCAAATAAAATATCATAGAGCTTTATTCTTCAATTGATCTTGTTACAGCTAGTATGATTGCTATTACCTTTGAGACTGACGAGGCTTCTGTTGCAGTTGTTATAATGTAGAACAGCAGCGTGACGAGAAGGAGAGGCACCCAATTAATAGTGCTGACTTGCATACACTACAGCCAGTAAGTTATTCGAAAGCTTTTTTAACTAGAAACAATGCCAGAAATGCCAAATATTTTACTCGATGTCATCATTCAGGTTGAAATTGATGGTGTGCCTAAAGATACCAAGGACAGAGATACAGAGATGGCATCTTAGAAAGTGAATTTTTTGACACCAGGCAGGCATTCCTGAGTCTATGTCAAGGAAACTATTATCAATATGATACCCTTCGTGCTGCAAAACATTCCTCGATGATGTTGCTATATCATCTTCACAATCCAACTGAACCAGCTTTCGCTACCACATGTAATGTTTGCAAGAATGATATCAAAACTGGTGAAGAGTGGCGGTGCAAGGAATGCGATTATGATGAGTGTGATGCTTGTTACAAACACAATGGAGGGACCAAACATGTCCACCAGTTAACGAAGCATCCAGCAGGAGCAGATAGGGATGCTCATCAAAAGAAGAGTGCTGACATAGTATTATATTTCTTACATTGTGGTAATTCATCTGGTTTTTGTTGTGTGACCATCTTAGCATTGGTGGTCACTGTAGAGAAGCTCAGTTGCTCCATACCTTCATTCACATTTATAAGGTCTATTTGATAGTTGCCAATTAATCGTGCTATTAAGCTACACACCATGGGGATCTTTTGTGCATAATGTATCTTATAGCTTTGTCTGTTTGATATGCTGAGGCTCCTTTTTGTGTTGCCAATGTAATCAACTTATTATGGAAAGCCTGAGCTGTTACTTGTGCTATCCACTTGTTGATTAATCCCTGAAGGAATTGATCTTGACTCCGTTACGGTGATTTTCTTTTTGTGGTGCTGCAGGCACAGACAATGCTTCGACTTGTGGTGCACGCGGCAGCATGCCGTGGTCCTTGTCAGTACCTCAACTGCCGAAAACTTAAGTCAGTCTTCCATTATGGGAAGAATTGCCAGACACGTGCATCGAATGGCTGTCGTCTGTGTAAGAAAATGTGGAGCATTATCCAGTTACATGCAAGAGCTTGCAAAGAAGCAGAATGTAATGTTCCCAGATGCAGGTGCCAGTTACCCCCCCCCCCCCACACACACACAGAGCACCCCAACACAATCTCAATGCACTGACAACACCTGTGCACTATTTAGTTGTTATATGCGATCACTCTCGTAGAAAGCTGAGCTGTGACTGGAAACAGGCACATAAAGGAGCATTTGAGAAAGATGCAACGGCTGCAACAGCAGTCTGAGTCCCGGAGGCGCGCTGCCGTTGATGAGATGATGAAGCAACGAGCTCACAAGTCGGCATGAATGAATAAAGGCAATGGCACATATAAAATATATCTCCATGAGAAAAGATACCAAGGCATGCAGATCAAGAGGATCTGCATAAAAACAACATCAGCATAAAGTTTTTTTTTTTTTGCCGTTTCTAGCCATTATTGGTTTGCTCCTTGCTCAGTTCACCTGCCTGAAAGTGGCACTGCATGCTGCTGGTGGTTTGTCTTGTCTCTGATTAAGTAGTGTAAAGTGTTTCACCATGCCGATTGGACCAATATACTTGATAGTGCTCCATACCTTAGAGGTTGACTCTAATGTTTATCATGTATGAGTATGATAGGTTTCTGGGCAGTTTTTAACTGTATATTGATGAGGAAATTTTGTAGTATTTTGTTTGTTGTTTTTGATACTCAGAGGTTCTAAAAGGTGTTTCCTGACATTGAATGAAAAAAAAATTCTAAACTAACTGCAACTTGAGAACTGGATCTGAGTTTACTTCTGAGAAAGCAGACCTGAACCTGCAAATTAGTTCTGAACATATGACACTGATAAAGCACACGTACTCCTACATACTAAAGCATCACTCTCAAGGAGTGGAAAGAATGAATATCTGACAGCAAAAAGGATCATTCACAATTTGTTAAACAGTAGCGATCTCTAAAAAAAAAAAGCTAGAACCTTTTGGCCGCTCAAATTGGCCTACCAGGTGACTTTGGTGGAGATCCTAAAAAAAAGGCGACTTTGGTGGAGTTGTCGTTGGATTGCAGCGGACGGCTGCGATGTGGTGACTCCAGAGCGCCTCGTCCACGTGGGATGATCGACGAACTGGACACGTGGACCCGGCACGACCACGTCGTCGCGCCGCGCCACCCGCCACCGCGCGGCCACGCCTCCGCCCTCCCCTCCTCCTGTCCCGCTTGTTCCCGCGCCCCCTTTATCCACTTCGGAAGTCGCCACGAGCTCCTGACGGCGACGCCCCCGCGTGCCGTGGCGTGCGTGCCCGCCCACCAGTCTGCGGTCTGCCCGTCTCGTCTCCCTGCGCCGGGGGGGCCCGCCGAGCTGGCTGGCCCGTGCGCCAGCCCGCGCAGCAACCGCAGCCACAGCTGGAGCCCCCGCACGGCAGCCACTCAGACGGCCGGCTTTATCAGCCGCGGCAGCGACATTCACCGGGGGGAAATATTTGCGGCCACTGCGCCGGATTCCGCCACAAAATCAGCCATCCACCACGAGAGCATGGCGGCCATCGTGGCGGCGCGGGCGTCTGCCCCCGGCGGCGCTGCCGTGAGCACTATCGCCGCGTTCCACAGCCACGCGTCCCCTTCCCACGCGCTCCCGCTCGCCTCCTCCTCCATCGGCGGCGCCAGGTGGTACTACCACGCCTCCGCGTGCTGCTTCGCCACCAAGCCCACCGCGCCGACCGCCGCCGAGCTCGTCGACCAGGACCCCGCCACGGCCACGCAGGAGGCCGCCAAGCCGCACCGGAAACGCCGGTCTCGGAAGGCGAAGAAGTCCGACACCGCCGCCAAGGAGGAGGACGGGACGGGTGACGAGACGGCGGCGGCGGCGGCGGCGGCGGAGGACGAGGCGAAAAGGAAGAAGAAGGAGGCGCCCAGCGCCGAGGAGAGCGCCCGGGCATTGGTGGCCGGCCTCGACGACGTGATCGTCAACCCCGTCGGCCTGGGCCGGCGGTCGCGGCAGGTGTTCGACGAGGTGTGGCGCAAGTTCTCGCGGCTGGGCCAGATTTCGAGCGCCTCCTCCATCGCGCTGGCGGAGGAGGAGCAGGCCGTGCTTATCCGCGGAGGACCCATGTGTGAGTTCACCGTGCCTGGGGCGCAGGACACCACCGTCCTCGTCGTCGGCGCCACCAGCCGCATCGGCCGCATCGTCGTGCGCAAACTCATGCTCCGCGGATACAATGTCAAGGTCAGCATGTCCTGATTCAAATGATCGTTGATTTGACTGAAGTGGTAGCTGCTTTCGATTTTTTATTAGAATCGACAACGCTGGAGCGGATAACTTAACATACGGTCTTACTTTACTGCATACTCTCTTGCCTAGGGAGGCAAACATTTTTTTTTAAACGCAACTAGGGAGGCAAACATGATAATTAGCATTTCAATTTTCATAGCCTGTCATTTGTGATTTTTTTATGCTTCATTCTATTAATGTATATCTAGATTCTCCTCAGCGTCTACAATTTCTGAGTTCTGATGCTGCTGATGTGTTCAGACTGTAAGTGTGATAGTCACTGCCGCCCTAATTTAGCTGGCTTAGCCCACGTGCTCACTCAGTCATACCTTCCATGTTGCGTACTAAAATTCTAGAGTTTGGGATCTAAAATGAATGGAGTGATGTATCTATCCATCATGTCATATGGACACACTGGAAACAATCTACAGTAATGGAAATGAACAATGCACAGTTTCTTATGATGAAATTCCAAGGCAGTCTGTACTTAAACTGTTCTTCTCCTAACTTTCTCCTAAATAGGAGAAGTTGGATAAACTAGGAGAAGTTGGGCCTAACTTTCTCCTACCATAACAGGCTTTAGTAAGAAGAAACGACCCTGAAGTGATAGATATGCTCCCAAGGTCAGTGGACATTGTTGTTGGCGATGTTGGTGATCCTGCAACTGTCAAAGCAGCAGTATCAGGCTGCAGCAAGATAATCTATTGTGCAACTGCACGCTCAACTATTACAGGAGACCTAAATAGGGTCGATAACCAAGGAGTAAGGAATGCTAGCAAGGCTTTCCAGGTATTTCCTTCTGAGTTAATTTTCTTATGTCAACTTCTATTTGTATTTATGGTTTTAAGATCCACCACTCCTTAATGAAAAGTATGTCACCGAGCTTGGTTTTGTACTGCAGGATTACTACAACGAATTGGCCCAGCTCAGGGCTGGTAAAAGCAGCAAGAGCAAACTCCTGATAGCAAAATTCAAGTCTGCAAAGTCCTTGAAGGGTTGGGAGATGCAGCAGGGTTCTTACTTCCCAAATGCTTTTGTTTCTAGATTTGATGAAGGTATCGATGCATCACTGGATTTTTCAGAAGATCAGCAGGCTGTTTTCTCAGGTAGCACCTTCAGTTTTGTAGCTTTTATGACAATGATTCCCGTTTTTAAATAAAATAAAACAAAAAAAACTATATACTTCATGTACCTCTGTTTTGCTTTTATTCGAATGTCATAGATTTCTTATGGAACTTCCTTATTTTCAGGATTTGTATTCACAAGAGGTGGATATGTTGAGATATCAAAAAGGCTTTCTCTTCCTCTAGGTTCCACCCTAGACAGGTATTAGGATCTCTTATGTTTTTCTTATTCTCTGATGTTGACGAATCTGTATGAAATTATGTATCAAAATGTATTATGTGAGCGTGACATTTCACTTCTATTTCTCTGTGCATAGGTACGATGGTTTACTTTTTTCAGTGGGAGGAAATGGAAGATCATACGTTGTTATTCTTGAAACTGGTCCATTGGCAGACACGACCCAGAGCAAGAAGTATTTTGCTCGGATGACTACAAAAGTAGGCTTTTGTAGGGTAAGTACTAAGTAAGTAGTGTTCGATGTCTTAGCTATACAGCTGCTTAATGCACATGTAGAATTTAATCCTTTTGTGTTTGTTTTCTGCAGGTAAGAGTGCCATTTTCATCTTTTCGGCCAGTAAACCCACAAGATCCTCCCCTCGACCCTTTTCTTGTGCATACACTAACCATTAGGTTTGAACCAAAAAGGCAGGTCAGTGCACTATGTTGTATTAACTTCCATCATCACCACAAGACAGCAAGTGCAGCTTTGGCTGTGACATAAAAATGGCGACTTAGCAATTGACACTTTCTGCAGAGACCTGGTGATGGATCTCAAAATGCTAGTGATCCTCGAAACTTTGAGCTGAAACTGGAATACATCAAAGCTTTACCTGTAAGTTGTTCCCACATTGTGCCTGTAGATATTACCTTTCTGTCTCATGTACTTATAAGTATAGTTTTTTTTTTTTTTTTTTGCAGACTGGTCAAGAAACAGACTTCATATTGGTGTCATGTTCAGGTTCTGGAATTGAATCTAACAGAAGAGAACAAGTTCTCAAAGCCAAGAAGGTTCTACTTTGTGTAACCACTTAACACTTATATGTTTATCTACTTCAGATGTTTAAGGATCTTGATGCTCTTCTAGGCTGGAGAAGATGCACTGCGGAGGTCAGGCCTTGGATATACAATCGTGCGCCCGGGTCCTTTGCAGGTATCATACTAATACACTTACTAACATTAGTGGAGTGAAGTTTCTAGGAATTCACTTTAGGCTCTTGATATAAGCAGTGTGCTAAACATATGGTTAACCTAGAACTAGAAGCCATCTATTTCCTTCTTACGTTCAAAAACCAAGACATAAACATTGTACTAGATCATACCTTCTGAAGCAGTATTATGAGCAAATGAGACATGAGTGGAGTGAAGTTTCTAGGAATTCACTTTAGGCTCTTGATATAAGCAGTGTGCTAAACATATGGTTAACCTAGAACTAGAAGCCATCTATTTCCTTCTTACATTCAAAAACCAAGACATAAACATTGTACTAGATCATACCTTCTGAAGCAGTATTATGAACAAACGAGGCAATTATTTTCCTATGTTATATGTGTTCCATTGAACCTAGTTGCACAATGACCATGATAGTCATTTTTAAATTGTTTCAGGAGGAACCTGGTGGCCAGCGTGCACTGATCTTTGATCAAGGGAACAGAATCTCTCAGGTGAAAACGTCATGAACAATTAGTTGCTTGTGTGATGCTAAATTTTGCGGATTGTATGCTATACATAACACTATATCTATAACTTTCCTATGTAGGGTATCAGCTGTGCTGACGTGGCAGATATTTGTGTCAAAGCATTGCATGATTCCACTGCAAGAAACAAAAGTTTTGATGTAAGATTATTCTCCTGCTCTCTTTCATGTATAGCAACGCTTTTTCAACTGATAATAGTATGCAGTTGTGAATAATTAAACTTGTTGCTATGTATTCAATTAGGTATGCTATGAGTACGTCGCTGACCAAGGGAACGAGCTGTATGAGCTTGTAAGTTAATTGCTGAAATCCAAAATTGATGGATCCCTCACGTTCTTATCAAGGCCATAAATCGTTGTTTTTGTTCGTTTTCGTGTTTGATAATATGCCATGAATGTTTTCAGGTGGCTCATCTGCCTGACAAGGCTAACAACTATCTTACACCAGCACTCTCTGTTCTAGAGAAGAATACCTGATTAATGTGCCACCAGACTCAGACATATGTAATATACGGGTCATATAATGTGTATATTTTCTCCTCTTGTAAAGCCATACGTTTTTCCTATACAAGCCTTGTGTGATTCACATGGTATGTCATTTGGCCCTTTTGTAAAGATGATTGCACATTGCGTTAAAAAAAAGATCATTGCACAGACTCAGACATTAAAGGTTGTGCAAGACGCTGATGGGCGATGGGCGATGGGCGATGGCACCGAGGCGGGCCAACAAACCGGCGCCAGCGACGACGTCGATCTCCTCGCCCTCGGTGCTGGTGCTGGCGCTGGCGGACACTATTCGCTTGTTTTCCTGAACTGCCCCCATATCCTTCCCTGACGTATGCTTCGGATTCTCACCTCGTGGTCTTCCGATCACCCCCCACCCGGCCTGGTCAAGACGATGTGAGGCTCCGAACACATCAGGTTCGTCTCCTGTTGAGGTGGGCATTGGCTGCTGCTTCCTCGGTTCCTCTTCCTCCCGCAGTCCCTCTCCCTTGGGCCATCGCATCCCGTCTCCCTTGCGTGTCGCTGCGGGCCGGCAGCGCCGTTGGGCTCGGCGGACGACCCACCCGCTTCAGTCTCATGGGCTGGGTTGCCGTTACGGATCTACGTGGGCTTGCGTTGCGGGTCAGCCCACCGGCTAGCAGCGGCTTGGGCCGCGCCGCTTGCGAAATCCCTAGCCGACGAACCTTCATCACAATCCGTGCAGGCCGGATCGACCAGGCCATGCTGCCGCTGCCATGTGGTGTTGGTGATTCTGGGGAAAAAAAATTATGCGACAGTGTCGCATAAAACGCAGTGGGCGACAGCCTGTAATTACCTGACACCTGTCCTGTGTTTGGCCCCACCAGTCCACCACGAGCTGCGTGGGTTGCTTCCAGAGCGTCTCAGGCGGCCACGGAGCGTCGCACACGGCCTTGGATTTCCTTCCTGATTCTAGTGGGCGCTCGTATCAGTGAGGTGAGGAAACAATAGACGAGACTCCAAGAACACATCACACATGTTTCGTGAGTTCGTCTCGTACGTGCGTGCATGTTTTGCAGGCACAAAGGTAAAACATGCATGCGGTGCGCTCTTCGAGGCTATGTTCGGCTGCCATTATAAGTCGGGTTCAGCCATGGTATAATATTTTTCTCTCCCAATAAATCAACCATATAAATCAGCATAAGCGGCTTATAGACCGGCCGAACATAGGCCGAGTTTCCGGATGGTAATGCCACCGCGGTCTTCATTTTGTCCTAGGCCACCCACAGCAGACCCAGCTGTCGTGTGACCGCCCACAAGTCTCGTGCGGCCCGGCCCGCTAAAATTATCCGGGACAACCGACGGCCCGCCAAAAGCCATTAGGACCCGACAACAAAACACGCGTGCCCACGGTTTCATGCCGTACACATCCCGTCCTGCCCAATCCTTGCTCATTGGTCAGACAGACGGACCGTCAAGCAAGCCTCTCTAGTCTCAGCGACTTCGCAGCATCGGCGGGCGCCTGCATCACCGTCCAAATACACGGGCACGGCACGCCGGAACACCGAGACAACCACGGTGGCGGCCGCCATTTTTAAGCAATCGTTCGCCTCACCAACCCGATCGCTCCATGCGACCCTCTTCTTCCTCTAATGTCGATGAGCAAGCTTGTCGCCGCTGTGGCCGGCGGGTGGGCCGACCTCCCGCGCGACCTCCTTGAGTCATTGCTCACCCGCCTCCCCGTGCCGGACCGCCTCCGCTTCCCCGCCGTCCACACTACGTGGCAGTCGGCCCACGCCGCCACCCCTGCCGCAGCGGGGGGATTCAGCAGGCCACGCCATCCCGTGGCTCATGCTACCCTTCAACCCGATCGCGCGGACCGGTGGCTTCTACGACGGGAGCGCCAAGCTCTCGGTGGCGCGGTTCCTGAGCCTGGCTGAGGTCTGGGTGTACGTGATCCGTCCGCCGGCGCGCGCCGCCACACCGCCTCCGCTCGCCGCCGCCGCACGCTGTGGTGGCGATCGGCCTGCGCCACCCGCCGCCGCGGGGGGATTCATCAGGCCGCGCCATCCCCATGGCTTATGCTACCCTTCAACCCGATCGCGCGGACTGGCGGCGTCTACGACGGGAGCGCTAAGTTCTTGGTGGCGCGGTTCTGAGCTCGAGGAGAAGTGCGACGCGATCCGCGATCCGGCGCCGGTGGCCGCGGATCGCCTCGCGCCGCGCCTTATCGCCTAACGGTGGTTTCATCACCGCCGACGCCTGCTCGGAGAGTCAGAGCTGAGCCTCCTGAACCCGGTCACGGGCGCGCAGATCGTCCTTCCACGCCCGCCGCCACGCTCCCGTTCATCGACGCCCGCCGCGGCGCAAACGGCCGCATCGAGATCTACATTTGCTTTGCTTCCGCGTTTTAATCCGATACAAATAAGCTTTACTTTGTGTACTTATGCTTATTTCATACCTTGTAAGTACATTGTGTTGGCTTGGGTCATATAAGCATGCCTAACCCTCCTTTGTTTCTATTGTCAATTGCTTATATGAACCAAGCATGTTGAAAACATCACTCATCTTTTATACATACTCGAGGTTGTGTTGTCATCAATCACAAAAAAGAGGAAGATTGAAAGCATCTAGACTCCTAGTTGGGTTTCGGTGATTAATGACAACACAAGATTACTGTGACTAACGTGTGCTTTATAGAGGCAACTTGAGTTAGGTCATGGTAATGGTGATTGATTGGGTAATTATAATTTTCATGCCCCTGTCGATGGAAATCGCTTCGGTTTTCAAAGGATGGACGACAAGGTTAAGGACGGACTAGTTCTAAGTGTCATTTGGCATTGGAGAGACACTTAGAGTAGTTTAGGACTTTGTTTCTTTTCCTTTGACCATACTATTAAGGGGGGTATGAACTAGTAGCTTGACCTAGATGGGTCTAATATTTTAGGTGTGGTGCACACTTGTAAAACTTAACACTAGGTAGCTCAAGGACAGCCCATAGATCAGTTGAAGTCGATGTCGTTCACAGAGTTGGTAAAATTTGAGATGAATAGAGATTTGGATGATGACCGGTCGCTAGATCAGACACAGGTGCCGCGTCCGGTCAGTGTTAGCTAGCGCAACTAGTGTGTTCATCGATCGGACGTTGGACCACACCCACAGATGTCGCGTCCGGTCAATATTAGCTCATGTTGCTAGGGTTTGCTTTTTGACCGGATGTTGAGGATGTTGTGACCTGACGCACTAGAGGTAGCGTCCGGTCAACAACGGTAAGCATCTAGAGAAGGAAATTTTTGACCGGACACGTCTCATTGGTGGCGACCGGACGCTAGTTAGAGTTCGGTCTCTGATAACTGGGCTGGCGTCATGTAGCCGTTGACCACTAACCGGATCGCGTTCGGTCACTTTGACCTAAGCGTCCGGTCACCCCGAAATATGTTGAGTTGGACCCCAACGAGTATGTTTTGAAGTGGGGAGTATAAATACCTCTCTCCTACTCGTCCAACTTAGTACTCTTGCCCATATGTTCAGCTGAGAAACACCTTTGGAGTGCAAGGGAGAGCAAGAGCCTAGTGGGGTGATTGAGATTTGATGATCCAAGATTAAGACCTCATTAGTGCATAGGGAGTAGCAAGTGTGCATCCACCCTTCTCATTAGCCTTGTCTTGGTCAAGTGAGAGCTTGTGCTTGTTACTTTTGGTGATCGCTATCACCTAGACGACTTGGTGGTGATTGTGAACTTGGTGATCATCCGGCGGAACTTGTGGATAGCACAAGTCATTGTGTGAGCGGTTATGGACGATTCACCGCGACGGAGTGTCAAAGAATCAGCCCGTAGAGAGAACTTGATCCTTGCATGGATCAAGGGGGAGTTACACCCTTGCGCGGGTGCTCCAATGAGGACTAGTGGGGAGTGGCGACTCTCTAATACATCGAAAAAACATCGACGCATTTCTCTTCCTCTCTTTACTTTGAGCATTTATATTTTAGCAATTCAATTCATGTCTCTATATTCCTAGAATTGCCATGCTAGAGTAGGATTGGAACCTACGGTGCAAAACTCTTGTGCGATAGAATAATAGAAACACTTCTAGGCACAAAGGGAGTGAAATGAGCTAAGTGTAGGGCTTAATTATTGCAAGAAATTTAGAATTAACCCAATTCATCCTCCCTCTTGGGTATCTTGATCCTTTCATCCCTCGGGTGACCTGGGTGACGACGACAACGACTACGACTACGGCGGCGATGATGACAACGATAATGTTGGCCCAAGCAGCAGTCCTCGATGCAGTCCATCTCATGGCGTGAGCAATCCACAGGGAGGTATAGGGGCAACAACCGGGCGATGCTACACCACCTGCATGTGGTCCGAAGGAGGGCAAAGGGAAATGTCCTCCCGCACAAAGGAAGGCTACAGAAGAAGAGGAGGCCATATGCTGGAACCACACCAAGACGAGTTGGGCAGCCTATCAAATAGCCAACAAGCACCCATACTCAACTACGTTAAAAAAGTATGCTACTTGAAAGGTATGCCATGATGCTAGCTGCTTTTTTCACTCTCTAACATCTCAAACCCCGGTGTTGTGGGCCGAAAACACCGGTGTCAATTTTGGCCCCTTTCGGATGATTGCCCCGACAACTACAAACATGGGAAGTTCATGTTGACCATGGGCTAGCTCGTCAATGATGAACTGGGGGGAGGTAACGAGGTTCCATCTCTGGTACATGGAAGCACCGAAAGTGGGCCTAGAAACATTCGTCATCAAGGTTCCGGCGGAGTACTTCCACATGCCCGAGGATGGTCAAGTTGTCATAGATTTCCACATCATGCATAGACTACTGCGGCGAAAGGACCTCGACGTCGCCCAAGTCACCTTATTTACCCTATAAGTTAATTACGACTTTCACACCATTGCATCGTTGTAGGTACTTTAGGAACAAACTAATAACTCCCTAATGACTTTTCCTTGCAGGATGCAGGCCTATGTAAGTAAGGAATTGGGCAAGAACATTGT